GATGTTCGTAACTATATGTTCGTACCTCGATGTTCGTATCTCGATGTTCGTATCTCGATGTTCGTAACTCGAAGTTCGTATCTCGATGTTCGTATCTCGATGTTCGTAACTCGAAGTTGGTATCTCGATGTTCGTAACTCGATGTTCGTAACTCGATGTTGGTATCTCGATGTTCGTAACTCGATGTTCGTAACTCGAAGTTCGTATCTCGATGTTCGTATCTCGATGTTCGTAACTCGATGTTCGTAACTCGAAGTTCGTATCTCGATGTTCGTAACTCGATGTTCGTAACTCGATGTTCGTATCTCGATGTTCGTAACTCGATGTTGGTAACTCGATGTTCGTAACTCAATGTTGGTAACTCGATGTTCGTAACTCGATGTTCGTATCTCGATGTTCGTAACTCGATGTTCGTAACTCGATGTTTGTAACTCGATGTTCGTAACTCGATGTTCGTAACTCGATGTTTGTAACTCGAACAATTCAGCATGCCCTTTTTTAAAATCGTCCCAATAATGTTTTTGGGTTAATCTGCACTGGCTCGGAAGGTTGTAAATGATTAGCTAGTTTGAATTTGCATAACAATACTGACAATGAACGTGCATTCAACGCCACAAGTTTTTTTGTTTTTTTGGCCAATCAGAATTCATCTTCCGAGCCAGTGCAGATCAGCCGATGTTTTTCACAGTCAGACAAAAGAATGCTCTATGTTACAACCAGTCATTTATCCTACTAATGTGTCGGACTCGTATTCATTTTATGAGTGTGTAAATATTGAAATTTACTCCTGCAAGACTTTATGAGAATTTTGAATGAGAATTCATTTTTCTAAAAGGCGACGAACACATAGTCTTAACATCGGCAGCTTCAAGTTAACTCCAAGATCATTATACAAAACATGGTAATGTTTATTGATGTTTGATAATAAATATTCAGTAGATTTCAGCTACCTTTATATACCTTTTCATAAAATACGATACGATAGATGCTTAGCCACATTCAGGCGCTTCCGGCATATGAGGCCTCCTCGGCGTCATGATATTTCATCATTCAGTCAGATTGTACGCCGGAAGATATTCCTTTATCAAATTCCATCTCTACTTGAGCCGAGTCCGCCTCGTTAATGTTCTACATGTATGAGTTTCTGAATCAGTTTTATTACATCTTACGGGAATTTTGAGTCTAGTTACCATCGTTTTTATATTTCTAATAAACCATGGCATGCCAGGTTGTCATTCATAACCCATTTATCATTGCCAGAAATGAGTGGACAAGATGGCCGACTTCCGCCCTGGCCAGTGTTCCCCAGTCAAATAAACATCACAGGATGTGCCATAGAGAATGCATTGCATAAGCATCTATTAAAACAAAATTTAATTTTGAGTTTTTATTTTTCATTTTTTCACTTTTGTGTGCTTCGTAATAGACAGGTGACGTTCCAAGCTTTCGATATGTTATAGATGTTTCCCTCAAAACTCCACCATTAAATGCCCAACTTGCCGTAAAACTTGATGATATATCCTACACTGGCCCAGTGTATTACCAATGGACGATATGTAATTGTGTGCCAAACTCTATTTTTAAAAATAGGTAAATGCAGTAACGCAGGTGACTGTTCAAGTTTGTTCGCTTCGTTCTGGATACTCTCTGGTTCAATGAACACGGCGACGCAGCCAACGCAGTTGTAGACGCAGTATTCACTGCCCAAATTAGAGCTAAAATTCATGCATTTTTACACAGATGTACGATCCAGTTGTTAGCAAATATAACTGTTTTAATCCAATTAACAACAGGAAGTAACCTGAATCAAGATTTAGTTTATGTCCGTTATTCCATGTTAAAAATTATCCCACTTTTCGAACGCGAAGCACTATCGCCATACTGCTTTTGATGCTGAAGGTCAGACCACAAGATCAATATATTGTATCGGCCGTTTTTCCTCTTTGTAAAAAAGGGGTTTCATCACACTGTTTGTCCGCGAGTTGTGTATTATTCTACGACAGTCTA